CAGATCGCGGGTATGGCGTCCGCAGCAATCGTTCCTTCGACCCCAACCAGATTATTGTGGAGTACACTGGCGAGATCCTTACCCAGCTTGAGTGCGAGAAGAGGATGAGAACAGTATACAAGAACAATGAGGTATGTGCCCCTTTCTCTCGGTGCTGTTACTATTTATTGACATCGTCAACTAGTGCTACTATCTCATGTATTTCGATCAAAACATGATCATTGATGCTACTCGCGGGTCCATTGCTCGCTTTGTTAACCATGCGTGTGAGCCAAACTGCCGCATGGAGAAGTGGACTGTTGCTGGCAAGCCACGCATGGCACTGTTCGCTGGAGATCGAGGAGTCTCGACCGGGGAGGAATTGAGCTATGACTACAACTTTGAGTGAGTATTACATGCAGATCAACTCACTTGACCATGTGCTAATACTATCAGTCCTTACTCTAACAAGAATGTTCAACAATGCCGCTGTGGATCAGCGAACTGTCGAGGCTTCCTTGGTCCCCGGCTGAAGGATAAGCAGCAACGTGCCATAGAAATCGAGAAACGTAAGGCCGAGGAAAGCACAAAGAAGGCAACTACAAAAAAAGTCATCGGTAAAAAGCGAAAGGTCTCAGAAGAACCCGAAAGCGACGACTCATCTCAAGGCAAAAAGCGCAAGATGACCAAGTCCAAGGCCATCAAGGCCAGCGTGAAAAAGGCCGTGGCTACTGTTCGTGGGAAGAAGACGACAAAGACAACAGCAAAGGGCAAAACCACCACTGCTGTCAAATCGAAGACCAACGTCAAGTTACCAACTGTTAAAGCCGCAGGCCGGATCAAGGCCACTGTCCGTGCTTCCCGAACTAACAAGGCGGCCAAGCAAACCCCGGCTTCTCCCAAGAAGACAACATCCCAGCTCAAGCGGCCTTCTGCTGAGACCAAGAAGAAAATTCTTGCTGCTGCTTCCAAAGGCTCCGGGGCTTCTCCCCGCAAGCCTGCGAAACAGGCCCCCGCCAAGAGCCCTATCAAGGCCAAGAAGCCTGCTCCCAAGGCTAAAAGCACTACCAAAGGGGGCTTTGGCAAGGGAGTCAAGAGTGTTGCTCGGCGTGTTGTGAAATCTGTCAAGGGAGCAAAGAAATGATTAACCTCTGGTCAAACTACAGTCAACACCTCGTCTTTGTGAGCTTTTCTAGACTCGAAAGAACCGAATCATTTCCGCAACACATCTTTTGCTGTTTGACAAACCCAAGTCTGTCAATCAACAGCTGGGAAGTCTTATCTTATTTTCTGTTGACCTCGACACATCTCGACACTTCTCAGGGGTCCATTATTTCTATTCTACTTGATAATTTTTCCCTCGGTAATCTTTTATTCTTTCTACTTTGGCTAAAAATCCCTTTTGGCAAATTTACCCCCTTGTACGACATTGTGTGTTCCCCCTGGCGTTTGTTATTTCCCTACCCCTTTCTTGTCTTTTTTTTCTATTTCCCTTTGCATTTTATTTTTACTGTGGCTTCATGATTCCTTGAGTTTTGGCTTTATGCGTCATGGTTATGAAAGTGAGAGATTGCTCTGATCTCTATAGCTAGGGTAGATGCCTTCAAATTCAACATGGTTTTCCCTGGATATCCTAGTCTCTTGTAGATTTCGAAAGTCTTTGGTGAAGTCTAGATATAGTAGTATATATATATCACCGAGAGATACGGCATTTGATAAGATGTAGTTGCTTTTTCTCCAAGAAATGTTCTGCCAAGATATTAAAGAATTGCAAGATTTCGTTTAATATATTCATCTGTAACCGTCGAGGTTTTGATTACCCTACGCTATGGTTCTACTCATCTATTTGGACCAATACATTTTATAGGGTAGAAAAGAAGTTTAGAACATCAAACCGAATCTATTGGCAAATAGAACTATCTAAGCCAGGGGAATCCATAGAAAAAAAAAGCCCACGAGTTAAAAGCCAGCACATTCTTTCATGTGCAGCAAACCATATAATCGACTCCAACAAGCCTCACGCAACCTTACAGAATTTTTACTGACGCTCCAGGAAACCCTGGCTCTCCAAAATGAGAATGATCTCGTGCACAATGCTGCGCACGCTCTGCTTGGAGAAGTCGACAACGAGATCAGCCTTCTCAGGAGCCTCATAAGGATCATCGACACCAGTGAAACCCTTGATCTCACCACGACGAGCAGAAGCGTAGATGCCGCGCTTGTCGGACTTCTCGCAGTGCTCGAGGGGAGTGGCGACGTGCACCAAGAAGAAGGAGCCAGCCTGGGAGACGGCGTCACGGGCGAACTTGCGGGACTCCTCGTAGGGAGCAATGGGGGCGGCAATGACGGCGGCACCGGCGCGGGTAAGCTCGGTGGCAACGAAGGCAATGCGCTGGATGTGGGTGTGGCGGTCCTCGCGGGTGAAGCCAAGCTCGGAAGAGAGCTCGTGGCGAACGGTATCACCCAGCAACAGGGAGACGGAGCGACCACCCTGCTGGTTCAGGGTAACCTGCAAAGCGCGGGCGATGGCATCCTTGCCGGAGTTCATGTAACCGGTCAGGAAGATGGTGAAACCCTGGGTGGCGCGAGGGGGGTTGGACTCGCGCAGAATCTTGACAACCTCCGGGTAAGAGAACCACTCGGGGATGTGGGCGCCGGAGCGCAGACGACGGCGGAGCTCGGTACCGGAGATGTTGAGGGTCTTGACGCCAGCGGGGACCTGGTCAACGGGGCGGTACTCATCGGTGTCGGGGAGGTAGGTAACCATCTGGAATTCGACGACCTCGATGCCGAGCTCGTCCTTGTACTTCTCGACGGCGTGCTGAGCATCGTAGGGGCCGTAGAAGTCCTCGCCCTTGGAGTTGGAACCGGGACCGGCGTGGTCACGACCGACAATGAAGTGGGTAGCACCATGGTTCTTGCGGATAATGGCGTGCCAGATGGCCTCACGGGGACCACCCATACGCATGGCCAGACCCAGGAGACCCAGGACGGCCATGCCGTTGGGGTAGCGGGGAAGGAGGGCCTCGTATGCGCGGACACGGGTGAAGTGGTCAATGTCACCGGGCTTGGTGAGACCGACGACGGGGTGAATCAGGACATTGGCTTGGCGGGAACGGGCCGCGCGGACAGTCAGCTCACGGTGGGCACGGTGCATGGGGTTACGAGTCTGGAAGGCGACGACGCGGGACCAGCCCAGCTTGTCGAAGTGGACGCGCAACTCTGCGGGGGTGTCTGTGGAGGATATATTAGCCAGATTCAGGGGCAGATGGGGAATTGCACATACAGCGGAGGGCGACATAGTCGTAGTGGTTGAGCTTGTTGACAGCCTCAATCTTTCCACCAATGTAGAACTCCTCGACGGAGTTGTTCAGGTACACGATAGCCGGGTGCTCTGGGTCACCGCCGAAGACGAGCTTAGCTTCTCTAGTCCTAAATTGGGGGAGAACCACGTCAGCGAGCCCCACTATAGCACGAGCCACTTCAACTCATTGGGTAAGGATTCGAGGTATGTGACATCAAACGTCCATAATAAAGATAAAACAAGGTATCCGAGGATATGAAAATAACGATCGACAGTGCGACCGGATCCGAACATGGAAATGGAGAGAAAGGGGAAAACTCACTTGTCGGGGCGGTAAATGTCATCGATAGTAAGAATAGCCAAGTTACGGTCGTCACGGAAATCACGGAGGGTGATGCGAGTACCGGCCTGGAGCTTCTTCTCGTCGATAACCTTCTGGCTAGCATCGAGGGTAATGGGCATGGAGAACACATTGCCATCGGCAAGGCGGTTTTCCTCACAGACACTATGCACATTGTCAGCTGCCGCTGTTATAGATTTTGGTGTAGAATGAGAGATCTCTCATTTCAATAGGATCATTCGTGTCACACATACCGGTCGTAGTCTGCCTGGTTCATGAAACCTGTATTCAAGTTAGCTTCTATTGCCCCTCTATGTGCATGTCCCTCTTTTTTTTTTTTGTTTTTTTTTAAAAAAAGAACATTTGAATCTCAATAGAAACAATTGCACTTACCCTCGAGAGGAGAGAAACCTCCGTTCATAATCAGCTCGAGATCACACAGCTGGCGCTCAGTAAGGGTCACAGCGGGGAGGGTCTCGGCCTCAGCGGCAAGCTCAACCTGGCGGGGAGCATCGCGGGCGAGAAGGTCCTTAAGGACACCACCGTGAGGGGCGTTGGCCATTATGAATATGAAAAGGACAAAAAAATAAAAATCAAGAAGAGTAAGGAAGAAAAGAAAAAGAGGGAAAGCTACGCTTATCAAGAAATTTCCTGTAGGAGGGGTGTGGATTGCACCATCCACATCCAACAGAAGTCGTCGACATGTGGAGACTGGTGGAAGTCTTGGCTTGTCGATTTCCTCGGGGTACACGCAGTGATTGTCCTATTATTATGGATATTATGGATCTTAGGGCTATTATTGTCTTTTGGGAATATTCTAAATGAATTTATGTATGTAACTAATACTATAGAGTCCTTTACAATTCTAGCAGTGAGAGTGTATAATGCTAATATCCGAACCTCCCGCGGAAGTATGGACTCCAACATTGTATGCTGTACAAAGTGCTGAAGTTTCCGATTTTCAGGGGTAAATACACCATCGCTTTGATTAAGATCATCAAATGAGATACATTTGATTCTAAAAAAGAACAAGTAGTGCATATATATAGTCCAAAGTAACTAGTATGTTGTTGTACTCGTTGGAGTATAACGTAGACCGATCTAAAAGCGTCTTAGCCCGACGCCACATCTGCAGAGGCTGATATCACGTGATGAAGCACGTCACCTCCGCGCGGAATCACGACATTCCCATTTCCAACATCTCCAAGTTAGGGCAAGATCGCCATGGTGATCTGAAAACCCTAAATCAGGGAAATGGCCTCTATAATATATACAACATACAATATTGAATCCACTAATAACTAACACAATATACATGATTAAATTAACTCCAGACCAGTATGGACAACCTATATATATACCTTCCCCTACATATGTTCACTGCGCCTTCACCGTGCTATTGGGAAGCGTTATAGTCAACTTCTCAAAGTCCACCTTAAACTCCCCCACCTTCATGGCCGGCTGAGTCGCGTTCGCATAGGAATCGACCAGGTATCCTTGGATATCCTCCTCCGAGGCCAGAGCCGTGTCAAGCGAGCCTGTCTTCTGCAGAATATACAACACTGCAACCCGAGAAAACCCAATAACGTTTTCTGGAACGCTGGTGACAGTAGATGTGGACGTGGATGTACTTTGCTCGACGGCAGTAGATTGCACGCTGATCTTGGTAGCGGTGGCGGTCGTGGCTGACTCGGTTTGGGTGGGTGTCGACGTGGTCGTAGATGACTTACTCGATTCCGAGTCATCGTATAGGATACCGTTCAAAGTGGCCTCGGAACGGACAGCTAGGACTGGTGTTGGGTCGGTTTCTGAGAGGGATGGAGTCGAATCGTCTATCAACTGCACAGATCGACGGGTCTTGCTTGTATTGTCACTTGTGACTTCGCTGAAAGCCACAAGCTCGTTTTCGGTCGTGCAGGAGACGTTGTTGATGCTGAAGAGAGCCATGATTGTGACTGAGTCGAGGGTGATATTGAATTTCTCCTTGGATTCCTCGAATAGAATAGGGAGTGAACTGCCCATTGTCGCGTTCGATCCGTTATTTACCAGAGCGGTGGTGCAGCTACTGTCACCCGCAATATTGCATTGTGAGCCGGTATAACTGTTCGAGCAAACACACGAGCATTGGGTACCGGCTGAGACGCTCACGCCTCCATTCTCACAAGGGTGCTTTTCAGCACAGGACGAGCCCGCTTTCTCACGGGGCACGGCGACAAGGAACACAGGAAGAAGAATCGCGAGCACAACGATGATGAAGATTGCAATGCAGATGATCACGAAGATCTTCCGAGGCATTCCGCAGCACATCTTTCTGCGTGGAGGAGCATTTGGGTCGTCTTCATTGGAGTGAAGCTGCTCAACATTACGTAAATTAGAGCGTCCAAAGAAAGGCCATGATGTGCGTGATCCGCGATTTTCAGGTGTCGCCAAACCCGGAGGAGGGAATGAGGCGAGCATATCCGATAGAGAGCCAGATTTGCGTGGTCGGTGTCCTATACACACACTAGTTAGTTCAATTTCTATATTCTGCATGGTGATCTGGATCCGAAAGACTCACCCATCCCGACCCTGTACCCTGCCTCATCACCACCAGCCAGATTATTAGCCCTGCTGGCGGTTCTGCCATGATCCAGGTTCGATGCGAGCTTTGTCGCCCTCTTAATCAAATCAGATAGACTGGAAAGGCTCCCACGAGCCTCTGCATCCCGCAACGCATGCATATTCAAAGCAGGAGGCTTGTGACCGCCAGGTCTTTTGTCGCTCATTGTTGGTGCAGCAGTAGGCAGCGCCCCGAAGGCCTCGAGCTCTTTTTCGAGGCGTGCATCGGAGGGCGAGTCATAATGCGGGGCAAAGGGTGGCTTTTCCGGGTCCACGCCTTTCACTGATTCACTGGATGCTGTAGTAGACGAATTTCGTAATTGGCTTGGTATACGGGGCACCTGGCCTGCAAGACCTCCCATCCCGATAGATCGTACTGCCGTCTCCTTGGGGGATGACTCCTCCTCGGTGGGTGTTGGCATGTCTACAACGGAAACAGGGTTTGACCTGAGGATGGTACGCATCGTCGGCTTTCCTCGCTTTCCAATACTAGCATTTCGGACAAGTCTCGTATCGTCCTCTTGGAAGCCTGGTGAGCGCTGGCCATCGTCTGAATCTATGTCAAGATATGCTCCTAGAATCTCGGACTCGGCGGGACCGGATCCCCAACTCAAGGGGATGGCTCGGCTCGATGCGACGGAGCATTTTGTTAAGCGAGGATCGGCGAACTCTTCTGGAATAGGCGGAACAGATGATTGAGGAGCCAGGCCAGGCTGTCGCATATTGAGTGGTGCTACAAGACCTGCTGTCCGGTGCCTAGGGTCATCCTGGGGAAGACCGGACTCGGATAACAGAAACGTAGGTGGAAACTGGGGCACATCGGGAACAGAGGGTGTCGACGAAGCTACAGATTGTCTGAACAAATCATCCGTTGCAATCGATATTCGAGGAGTCATGTCAATTGTGCTCGTTGGACTGGCTGGACTGGCAGGGACATCGTTCATCGGCCGGCGCGACTGCGCTAGCGGAGGCGGCTGAAGTTGTGAGAAGGAACGAGGAGGCCTTTGGCTTGGGCTCGAGCTCCTTTCTGAGACTGGGCCATCCCGTTCCGAGTAAATGGATGGCGAAGGGAGCTCACTCGGATGAAATGGCCTCAGAGGTGGAGGACCACGCGGAATCATATACCTAGGATGTTGATTGATCGGGTGCGGCGGGAGACCCGAATCAGGAAGAGGCCATTGCGGTTGATGAGAGATATCCCTGGGAACCTGAGGTTGTCTCATCTGCTGGGGTGGCGAGGCTTGTTCTTGACGCACGCCGGCATCCAGCATTTGTCTGGCACGCTTGACGGATCCTTTCCGGCTAGGTTCCCCAGAGGGAACGGAGCTTGGTACGTCTGTGCTCATTGCAAGGTTTTATTGTCGAAAAAAATGTAAGTCTAAATGGAATGTTGGAGTGGATGCTCTTGTAAAGTTTGCGAGACATTAGGGCTCGCAGGGTATCAAGTATGGCGAGGTGGTACTGCGGTCCAAAGGAGAGACTTGTCTTCCGGATATTGACTGAAAATGAACGATTGATCGATACCTTGATTGTCTTGAAAAAGAATGAAAAGATACCGAAAGGATTGAAACCAGAGAAACGGCGTCTGGCGACTGAGCAAATGTCTACAGGATCGTAGAAAGTGGATAAAGCAATGAACACGATCTAGAAAAGCAAGATCCACAGGATCAAGATCGCAAAGGAATGGAAGGGCATTCAATGCCACTGTATATAATAGTCAGGACTAGCTCCATTCAAGTGATCATGGAATTGCCTTGAGCAAGACCTACCGTTCAAAAAGGGGACTGGAAAAATGAGAGGAACCGCTAGTATCAAACTGGCGTTCAAGACTAGATGGGTTAACCCCCAATCTTTGACAGGCCTGGGTAGACTTACAATTTTGAAAAGGGGAGAGCCTCAAGCCCTTTGGAAGTTGAGAAAAAGGAGAGAAAAAAGAGGCATTGAACCTGACACCCCAGGGTTAACGCGGTTCCTGGCATGGATACTAGTCCACATCTCAAACGGGAAGTATATTAATGCTAAACATCAACCCTGAACTATTAATTTCTTTGCATTTCACTAGTCCTGTAATATAAGAGTACATGGTACGGAGTACTTTATATCCGAATACTCCGTACATTATACATAGATGTCCCTCTCTGATGAGTATCGGATCTACCCCCTACAGAGTACACTGAGATATACATGACTGCTCAACATGGCATCTTTGGAAAAAAGAAGGGAGAAAGGAAATGAAAGGTCGGGGCCTCATCGTAAGACCCCTAAATTGCTCCGTAGGCGAATCACATGTCAACTACTCCGTATGTCAGTGGGGTTGGGGTTAGTCCCGGACGCTAACGTCTCATATTAAGACTCTTTTTAGCAATTTGAAACTTGGCATAGCCCAGTTACTGAACACGTTAACAATGAAATTCATGCATTGCATAATGTATGTTGTACTAAAAAGGTACAGGAAAAGTAAAGCTTGGGGATTTTGATCCAACTGTCCAACTCGGCTATATCATCAGTACTTTGTACTCTGGAGAGGTCGGAGTATATACCTAGACTGGGCTTTACACTGAAACATTTTTAAACCTACTTGGTACTACTCCGTACGGAGTCATAATTAAATTGCGCCCCCTTTAAATCTTCATGTTCACTCCGTACTCCGTGCGAAGTACAATTATAGTAACATTGAATGCTCCGCTCTCTACGGAGTAGTCTCTACTCCGTACAGATCCACAATAACTAAGCTGGTCTGGGCTCTGATGCCACATGAACGGTTCGTGGGTCATGTGGAGGATAATATATCGTAGATTGTGTTGCAAGTCAAAATTTTAGATCCGAGGCATTTGCGACTTCAAATTTTAAACACATCCGGTCACATAAGGTGATCTCCTTAGGATCTCAGAAATAGAATGCTCTGTGCGACTTGTCAACGTCAACTTGACCTTGCGACGGCTAATCAACCGCGCAACGTTGAACAAGTTCACGGATGACTACAACGCAGTTGCGTCGGAGGATTCAATTTCCAGCCGAGCCCTTACGCGGCTTATCTGCTGTTCTAGGGCTCGCATTTCGACTGTTGTGCTGGCCAAATCTGGCACCTGATTATCTATCGCATTTGCGAAAGAGTCTTGCGCCCTGCGTAGCGACTGGGGGACCAATATTCCATACCAATGAATTGGATCGGCAGAACGGAACTTCTTAGAGGCGGGGTTTGGTTTTTCGACAGGGGTGATTTCGGTTTCTGCACTGTCAGAGGGTTCCGAGCTAGCCGTCTCGGCCGGGCTACTTTCCCCGGAGGCCTCGAGCTGTCCACCCAGGACTGAAGAAGAAGCTTTGGTTTCGTTGTTCTCATCGGCCTTCTCTGGTCTCTGACAGGGTGTGGTATTGATGGAGAATGTATATTCAGAAACAGGTAGCGCAGTGATATCCTCTTTCTCTTGCGGATCGTTTGTGGATTTCTCCGTGTTTGGTTCGGATTGAATTGATCTGTCAATTTCGGCCAGTTAACATTGTGTCAGTAACCAATTGACAGCGGGTGAAGTTACATCTTTCTCGTTGCTTTCATGCGCCCATCATAATAATCAGGACCATAACGACGGCCAGGAGGACTGGAGAAATTGGCCTGGGCGAGAGAGAAAAACCCCTACTTTGTCTCAGCATATTTCATGGACCATGATTAAGAAAGTCATACCGACGACAGCCGTTCTGCTAGGCTTGAATGTAGTTTCTGCTGCCGATCCAGCAGGTGCAAGTATTTCTCAAGAAGTGTATCCAAACATTGGACCGAATCCTCCAAAGCTTCCGGCTTCACCTTCACTTCGGGTGCCTCTGAGCCCGGTCGCGAGGCTGGTGGCGTGGGTATTTGAGTCATGGAGAAAAAGATCAAAGGTGAATGAATCAGATATGTAATGCAAATATCTGTGAAGTCGAGTTGTGGACTTGAATCCAATAAACCCACAAGCTTTGAGATACAGAAGAAACGTGGAGCAAAGGAGCTCGGCCCCGGTAACTCCGTCATTCGTCTCCGAACGCAAAAGAATTTCCCACCTCTGCGCTTCTTCTCATCTCTTGCATACTTCAACCCACTGTGTCTCTTCTATTATAAGAGACTGTGCTACGAGAGATTAAACCCATCGATTCCTGTGTGATTTGATTTCCCCGGATCTTTGGTTCTTGCAAGATTGAACCGCCACCTCCGATTGCGTCTTTGATACGACTCATTGCGCCCAACGTATGTGAACTCCATTTAAACCCTCGACCACTGCGATACGAACCATTGCGCTAACTCAACTGTTCTTAGGACAAATTTTTGCCTCAGCAGCGCCGTGTCGACGACCACTCGACTAGGGCTTCAGTGATAACCTGGGGTTGACCAAACAGGTGTCTCGTACTCATCTTCGGCTTTTTGACTCCTGTCACCGTCTGAATCCTCTCGATACTCTTATCAAACCTCAGCTACCATGTCTGTCGCGTCCTTGCATCGTGAGACTGCCTTCCAGGCACGATCTTTGGTATGTCCTCTTGGCTCCGTATACGCTTCAAACTGGTGCGTTTATCTTTTGAGAGATTGACCTAACGTATTCCTTTCTCTTTTTATTAGTTCCGTTCCCTTCTGCGCTATTCCGGACAGTTTTCCAACTACAACTTCCGTGAATACGCTCGTCGGAAGACAAGGGATTCATTCCGCGAGCACCAAAACACTACAGAGGAACGTCGGATACAGGAACTGATTCAGGAGGGACTGCAAAGCTTGCGCTTGCTGAAGGTAAGTGTACCACATGGCTTTTTGGGGTGAAACTCGATCGGTGGCAGATGCGGGGGATCCATTTTCAACCTCGCGTATTGAAAGTCGACGAGTCTCACCTTCCAACACTGCCTTACAAGACATTGAACTCGACTATGAGGGATAATTATACTGACATAATCACAGAGACAAACGATCATCAGCCAGTTCTATCAGTTGGACAAGTTGGTAGTGGAAGGCCAGAAGGCTGTAAGTCCTGCTCTGGTTTAGGGCCTTGCTCCAGGATTCAAACTTATCTTGTTATTTTTGAAGGGAAAGGAAACCGGAAACCAGGGAGGCATTGTTCGCCAGAAGGACACTGGGTAAGTCATTGAATTGCAGCCCCATGCCCACCTGTTTTGCATGTACTAACATATAATAGTTGGGATTGATTCTTGAGAATCGGATGGAAACTTGTAACTATTCCATTTTGTTTTGTTTCGATAACTTTCCAATGGTGGAATAATTAAACACCTGCTCATTTTCTGTATTTATACACCCAGCGATGCAGCTGCAGCTGTAGCTATTTTTTATCAAGCGCTAAAAACGCCCCCATTCCACTCTTGAATTACAGTACACATTGCAATGAATTAGATTGTGTTTATTTGTATCAATTGAGAGATATCGTCACGATATAGATGGCTACTATAGCAAGGTGTTGCATGGATGTTCAATAAGTATGTATCACGTGATGTCTCTTTACGGTCTTGTAGCATTGCAACGCGACGGAGTTGCGCTGCTCCGCTACCATCACCCACTCCACCACATCCCGCCGAAGAATCCTCCCCGGGTCGTCCCCACAAGGACATTACAAGCTTCCTGATCGCGCGCACTTGTCTTTGAATTATTATAGGGGCATCTGCCATGCCTTCTACGGTACGTTTCAACTTACCCCCGTGGTGATCTATCTTATCTGGCCCCGAGCTGGTTACCCTAGACACATGGTCATCCTAGATATGCTAGATCTTAAATTGCCTGAATTAGCTGGCTAAAACCCACCACAGTTCAGAGCCTCGCGCTCAGGGCGACACCTTGACGGTGCCCCGAACCGTACCCGAACCGGCCAAATCGATCACGATGTCTTTGAGGGATTGCCAGTGCGTCGCTGGTCCCGACAACAGCACACCTTCTCTCAAGCGCCCAAAACCGAGGACTCGGAATTTGGCATTCAGGGTCCAGGTGGAGGGCCAACGCTACCAGAGCTCCCAATGCCAAGAGACAGCCAGCTCTTGCCGCCAACCAGTCGCGCACTCCTTCGAGCAGCCCGTGCCGGATGTATCCATATTCGCCAGGGCAGTCGAGCAGCTGATGATGGGGATAAAAGTGTGGTAGATGCGGAAGACTCGGCCTCTGCATCCCATATGGCCGACCGGAGCTTCACAACTCGCAAATGGATGACACTTCCTAAGCACCTCGAGCCTGCGGAGGTTGAATTTCTGGCAAAGAGGCGTCCTGGTCTTTTATCTCTTTATGGTGCCGCTGCTGGTACAGATGGGTCAGCTTCTGGACCTATGAGGAGGACGAAATTCAAGAAGGTTGATCCTGAAACAGGCAACATCTCTATCTACGAGGCGTGGGTGCCTGAGGGACACCGCATTGAAGGAGAGATTACTGGTGATTTACAGACTATTGCCGAGCACAGTCAAGTGCCTGTGAAGCCCGAGGCGCCTGCACCTGGAACAGTCGTCGAGGGGGTCGGCATTGTCAATGCGGAGGGTGTTGTTGTTGCGGAGGCTGGTTCAGCGGCTGTCATGACACCTCCAAAGCGACGTCCACCTCCACCGAAACGAAAGGGCAAAGGCATTGGAAAGGGCCGGAAGAAGAAGGTCATGTTTGCGCCTGGCGAAGGCGCTGATGCCGCGACAGTACACGGAGTTGGCCCTGCTACTGGCAATGGGGAGGGTGGCTTCAAGAGAGAAGGCCAGGATGATGCTTCGCACATGTCCATAGACCAGGGTGGTCAAGATGAAGACGACGAAGACGGCGACGAGGGTGATGAGAGTGACGATGGTGACGACTCCATGATGGACGCGAAGACTCCTGATACCCCCCAGCCTCTGTCTGGCACAGAGTTTGCGGATCAGCCTTCAGTCGAAACTCCTGCCGAGCAGTCAGTTGATGTCGACATGTCAGATGCCATCCCTGAAAATCAGCCTCCTGCCCCGGAAATTTCTCCATTAGCCGAAGATGGCAAGCAAAACCAGCCCGAAAAGACCTCAGAGGTGGATTTCGGCACCCTGACTTCCAATGTTTCTTCGGAGAAGGCTGAGGCCACCGAATCAAATGAGAAGCCTGTCATTTTGGAGTATGACAAGACTCCCACTTCTCCCGCCGGAACTTCCCTAACGCCGAGTGAACCCACCGAGCTTTCAGCTGCGGTTGGCGAAGCCCAAAACTCAGATGCCAAAGTGCAAGAGGAGGAAGCCATAAATACAACGGGTGATCTTGCACCAAAGGAAGAACCTGCTCTTCCAACCCAGCAAGAAAACGCGACTGCCCTGCCACCTGTCAGCCGCGAAACATCCCTAGAACCCCCAGTAGCACGTGAGCATTCAGAACCCGAGCAGACTGCGGCATCGACCGATGTCTTGGCAGAGACTCGGGAATCCCAACAGATTCCAAGCGAGTCTATTCCCCACCCTGGCACACAAGAACAGCCCTCGACGGCTACCGAGCGCGAACAACAGAGCCCCTCCGATGCTTCGAGGCCCAGTTTACAACCAGAAGAAGCAAAAGATATCGAGATGGGAGACGCCCCGGCACCGGAAGAAAGCCAAGGGGTAGATCATCAGTCTTCTGCAAGCCCAGACTTGCCTCAAGCACCGCCACCTGCGGAGAGTTCGGAGCCCCAGCCCGCTCCAGCGGATTCCACTACAGCTGCTGCCGCAGAACCCACTCTACTAGAAAAGCCAACGCCCACCGCAGACGAAAAGACCGAAGTAGCAACCGAAACAAGTGTCCCTGATCAAAGTGCCGCCCCCGAAGCAGAGCCGCAAGAAGATTCTCCGTCTACGGAAGCTGAGCAAGCCAAGGACGAACCCGAGCAGCTCCCAGAGCTCCCAGATACGATCCCACAGGCTGGTCCGTCTGAGTCTACATAAACCACATGTGAGGTTTTATTTTGTCCAGCCAACTAATGTACAATGAACGGTATTGTTTTGTCTACTACCCTTTTGTTAAGGGCTTTTGTGTCTGTGAATAGGCGTATGGTCTTTTTGGAATCATGGATCGTCGTGCATCATATTGTAGGACTACTTAGTTTTATTCTTCAACTGGAACTTTTTCTTTGAATGCACTCCGTTCACTCCTGCCTTCCTTATCTTTTTTTGTACAGCAAGGGCTTATCTTAGAGATTCTAGGTACGAAGCTACAAACTACGTCATACACGAAGAGAGGAGAAGAAAGTAACTAGCAAGTATTATCTCTCGATATGACAAGTTCAGCAAAGAGAGACTGGTTGAACCAGTTCAAAGCAATGTCAACTCCGTACAAATGTTTCTTTGAAGAAAAGAAATAAAATCACCAGGCAAGTTTCTGAATATCCTTCGAGATCTGCCATCCATGCGCCAACGCAACTCTTCTGTAGGCTTCGACCGCCTCGCCCACTGAATAGTCCATGTGACGTGCGTTGATATTCAGACGCGCGGGTCTTGGATCGGTGTTGGTGATAGCCATGCGAACCTGCAACAACACACTCTCAATTGAAGCCGTCGGTAGCCAGCCCGAGTGGGTAAGCAGTTCCATACACATAGAGCCACCAGCGGTAACGTGGCCGCCGCCTCCAGCAGCGAACTCGAGGAAACGAGGGCGGATCACCCGTACAAGGGGTGGATCCATGGGGAATTGAGGGGGGAAGCGAAACTCCATGACGACGCTTTTTTGGTTGATGGCTTTGAGGTCTTGTGCTAGTGGGAGGGATGGATCAAACGTGTGTAGCTCCACGACCCATTGATAGACTGTTGTGATCAAGCTGGGGTCAACGTACCACCCGAGCTCGTGGAGTGGCACTCGCTCCTGGATTTTGATGGTAGCCTGGAGATGCTGCTGTAGGACTTTTGTGCCCGAGGTCGTCGCAAACCGAGGCGAAGAAAGTGTAGGCAAAATACTGTCCTGTAGGGTTCCGGGTCGGAAATCAGTCTTGAGGGCAAGTTCTGGGATAGCTCCTTGCATGCTGGGACCTGGAGAACTTTCAGACATTTCATCGTCAGATAGAAGAATGTTGAGATCCTCTAAGGTCGTCTCAATGCTAGCGTTGTCGTAGTCGTCATCGTTTTCATGTTGCTCAGTATTTCCAACTGAATATTTGCGCCTCTTGGATGACGGCGCAAGGTCTGCAAGCCCTGCTTCTCTAGCAATACGAAGAAACTCCCCCCGTGGGCCGCTAAATACCGAGATAGGAATTTTGACCGACAGTCCGTTGGGGCCCAAAGCCAGGTAACGCTGATCTTGTTTGTATAAATGGCTTTCATCATTGTTGTGGGATGATGACTGGGATTTGTAGCTCTTTGGCGTACTCCCGTACGTGGATCCACCAGTTCTATCTGCCATACCAGGTACGTTGAGATCTTGGAGCCTGACGAACAGATACCTTGGTTGGATCCAATCTAAGTGTTGCACGACGTAGTGTGGGCTGTGGTTCACAAATTTATGGGGAGCATTGACTACCTCATTGAGAGAAATCACCGTCGAGAGCTTCAGTCGAGTCTCAGACCAAGTGGAAAGAATATGTGTGCCAGTGTATCCCAATGAGGTATGGAAGTGGTTCGACATGTAAACTCCATGGCCACAGGCGCGACCATGGAGAATTTGCTTGAAATGAAACCCCTCGCGTAGAATGCTGTGCCAATTATTCACAGGGCTGCCATGCCAAGCGAAAATCGTAGGATGATTTGGGTTCTGGGCCAAGGAGTTGGAATTGACCGCGTTGATAAAGCGCTGCTCTTTGTCCGCAGCACCTTGAACAAGTCTGAATTGGATGTAACCGCTCATTCCGACTACCTGGTGTCGAGGGTTGTCGTCATCTTGCTTGATGAAAGATCGATTTGAGGCTACAACCCAGCGTAAAAGATCCAATCCAGCAGGAGATATGACGTCCCTCCATGATGAAAGAAGCTTGCCACTTTCGTGGCTTCCAATGAAGGCCTTCATTTCCTTAATACCAGGGAGCATGCCTAATAGACAAGAAATCATATGTTGTTTTTGTACGGGTGCCAAATCGTCCAGATTGGTGTCGTAAACAACAATTTTCACTTGCCGAGGTGGAGCCCGCAGGTCTTTTGGCTGCAATTGACGGTCTTTGCTAATTGGAGGTGAGATGCGAATATGATTTGAGGTCTCACCGACGTGTTTAATGCGACAGTGCCATTCTTCTGCCTCTGGGACCGTAATGATGAGGACGATCCAATCACCTACTTTGACCGGAGCTGGCTGATTCAACTGAATTTCAAGATTAGCTGCATCAAATTGCCCAGTATGATATGTAGTAAGATCTGGGGTTTTTTGAGGGAGTAGCTTTTCGGGCACGCGCAGCCGAAGACCAGTCGGGAAGTCTTCAAGGAGCCCCGATGAAGCCCTCGAGTATGCCAGGCTGGTCAACAAGTCAACGACAAAGGGTTGAGAGCGAATCTCATATTCAAGGCTTGGGCCCAAGTCCAGCGCCATGTATTGATACAGACACAACGCGTTGGAGCAGACATAAGGCTTCAGTGACTCAAAGGTATCACCAGTCTTGCAGTGACAAACCAGGCAGAATTCTGTGCACTTGATAAAATGTCGCAGGGTAAATTGGATAGCAAGAAGAGGCAAAGACATATTAGAGATATTGTGATCCAGTTCAGTCATATGGTCAGCCACAAGGATTTCTGGCGTCGAAGTGGCCCAGCAGTCGGACTGATAGTGCTCCTCGGAAGAGATCTCAGAGCTGGCGTAAATCCTGCCTTGATTGGTCTGGAAGAAGAGCTCTGCCCCTGTCCATGAAAACCCATGTTTTAGTCGAAGATTAATGATACCAAACAGTCGCTCTCCGAGAAGTAAATTAAGCGACCTTCCAATGAACAGCGGCTTGAGAAGATGACCACACATTGTTTTGTCCGAAGTTGTACTCTCGTCTTTCGTCTGTTGATCCGGTGGTCCCTGTAAAGCTTCCATGGCGTGCTCTAAGGATGGCTTGTATGAATTACAGAGGCCAACATGCATCTGAATCGGTGAGCTCTTTGGATCACCTGCTGTCTCAATAATTGTGTGGAGATCAAAGTAGGTTGGTCGATAACGAATCAGTAAAACCAAATACTCTGAAGATTCGACGCTCCAGGCATTCATAGCTTCCTCAGAAATGCCAAGCTTGGAAATGCGGCAAGATACCGACACAATGATGGTTCCATATTTTGAGCCCAGGTATCCCACTTTGAACCCAGCGTTCTTGACCGCACGAAGGTCACGGCGAATCTTCTCTCGTAACCCAGGATCACTTTGAGTGGAGTTAAAAATTATGTTTTCATCATCAGACTCCCAGTCAGGCTCGGTATCACTGGCAGCCGACTCATCGTCGTTGGGGTCCTGAGTGCCTGTATCTTCTGGGTGACTGGATGTCGAATCAGGGTCAACAATAGAGTTGGTGATGATACTCTCAATTTTGCTTAGCAAGTCGTTGATGGTTAGACTTGTGAAACAGGGCACTGCGTTTTCCAGAGAGGAGGTGACTGTCTTGGGACAGTCCTCGGACGACGAGAAGGCTAGGAACCCATGCTCCTTGGGATAATCGTGAGAGTCTGTTTATGAGTTAGCAAGATATTAAAGCCTTGGAAGCCACTATGAGTTAGTGATATTTCTTACCTGAAACTATAGCCTGGAGGTCAAGGGTGGGGCCTGCCCCAGGTGCTGCGAATGTGAAGGAAATTGATCCATCATAGTCCCCTGTTCTGACATCGGAGATACAGGGGAATCGGCCAGGAACTGCCGCATCTGCGAGATCTCGCAAGAATTCCTTTCGTGGCATGATAGTGGCTCACTTTGTCAAAAGCTTCGAAAGAAGGAAGAAGAGAAGAAACAATGAGACGTGGAAGGCGGTGTGAAGGAAATGACCCTGGAAGTCAACGGAGACCAGGCAAGAAAATAAAAGAGAAGGTAAAAAAACGAATGAATAGGACGGACTAGGGGGGACAACAGAAGAGGGTGACATAAAAGGACAAAGGAAATAACGAGGAAGCCAAGTAGAAAACCATTTGAACTACCAAGGCAGCCTCAGGCGCCCAATGTGGAATAGCCCCACTATCTTAAATCTAATCGCGTCGATCAGTCTAGGTACAGATCTTGGCGTCGGATCCACTTCTATACATTTATGCTGTACACATGTAGTGTTGACCACATAGTTTTAACGTAAAGAACCACTCGTCTATCTATAACTGTTTGAATAGACTTGGTTAGAATGAGCCACAGTTATCGTCAAAAGCCGACATAACTCTCAATTTAACCCATAACAAACCCTCCTACAGCGAACCGGCTAAGACCAACGCCAATGTTTTAGCTATACGCATCATTGGTAAGCCCTACAACGCCAATAGCTAGGAATAGAGTGCTTCCAGTCTGTTTGTATACAACAAGTCGGGTCAGGTCGCTGCATATTGCATACCGGTCGTGAAGGAAATGAATAAAAGTTCGCATTCGAGGAGGCCCTCGCGAATATTTTCTAGTATTAAGTTCTCGTAACCGAGACTTAACGTGCAGCCATGGCAGGGAGTGCGCCAATTTGAACAATGATTCGGGTAAATTGTAGTGCATGGAAGCGCCCAAGTGCTTTCCTCGTACTCATGGTAAGCTATCGATAGAGAAAAGGCTCATTAGCACATTATCTTGTGACCTGAGAATCTCAAACCAAAAGTTTGGAGACTGATACTTGACTCCGATGCCTAGACGATTCAACAGGTGCCAATGAATGGCTAGATGGAGCATAACTTCGGCCACGAGAAAGACAGTAGTGCAGCGCTGTGGGCTTGACATTCGATTTTGAATGGAATGTAAATGTTAGCTCCAAGCTGATGTATATCTACCAAGCGACTGTGAAACTCCAATGCTATCGTCAGTTGAGATGTATGCCTATTTCAAATTATATCTTCCCAAAGCAAGGATATTATCCACTTGCCCATACAGAACTAAATTCCGGGATATCCACACATATAATGTCTACAAAAGTCACGTGTCGGACAAACACGACAAACATCCATCAATGACCATGTTAAGGCTTCATCGATCTCCAAACCTTTTCGGTGATTCAATCATGTTGCCTCCTCGAAACGCCATCGGTCGAATACTGAGTCATACCCGACCGACTCATCTACCTCGGATCTCCGGTCCCAGCGTATATCTCCGGCCATTCACTCATCGCACACGCCTACTTCTTCTTTCTCCGGCGCCAGGTCGCCCTCAACTGCCCTTTCTATCACCTCTTGCGCCGACCCGTCCACTTCCACCCCTATCAATACATCTCCGCCAGCACTTTGGTCGCTTGATATCTACCGAGAGCCGCGAGCATTACAAGCGAAGGGTATCGCGAGGTGTCAAAATCGGCCTATCGGTGTCTGCCATCCTTGTCTTGTTCTCCGCGATACAGCTCGGTATCTACCAAGAAGACATTGAGCATTCATGGCCTACTCCACCAGAATGGTCCTGGAAAAGCCGCTGGTGTCTGCGATCTGCGCAGGCACTGCAGAATCCCGAGCAAATCGGCAAGCTAATGACGAATTGGCCCATGGTCGCTGGATATCTTCGTGAGCTGCTGGAGCGTCTGGAGAACCTAGAGGGAGAGGGCAAAGGTCTTATTGAACAAGACGAGGGTGGGTTTTTGGTCGAAGGTGTCGGCCGCACTGGGTTCGATGTCTCCGCAAAGAGTGAGCCTTGGCGCCGCGGATATTTCCAGGCCCTGATGGGCGCTGCCAAGGCTGCCGAGAACCTAGACGGCTGGTTGACAGATCGCAAGCAGAAGATATCTGCGCCCGCGGAATATGTTGTTGGACCCTCAAATCCCCGACCAAAGCCCATGCCCGCTGGCCAGAAGAAGGTGCCGCGGGAGGAGGACTGTGAGCAGGCATCTCCGTCTCCGGAGCGCTTCTACATGAAAATTTTGACAACCAAGGGCTTTGACACAAGGCAGAAACTTGATGCTGCCTTGGCCTATGCTGATTGGCTTGATTTCAAAGGACTGGGCCTTACAGCAGGTGACATGTATAAGTGGGCCTTGGACATTGCTGCCAGTGGGCTGGAAGGAGATTCTAGCAAGATTGTGGATTTGAAGAATGGCATCTTGAGGAATAACGGTGGAGACCTACCCTCAGAGAACATCCTCCGTGTCTTCACGGCCCTCGCCGTCCATAACGCTCGCCAAGCCGACCTTCCAAGAGCTTTATCCCTCTTCACATCTGTTCTCAAAGCCCGACGCAGCCTCCCCCTATCCTCGGAATCTGATACATCCCCCTCTTTTCCGACTCTGCCTAAATCAAACCACGATCCATTCGCTTCTCTCTTCAAATCGCTCAGAAATGTCCTCATTCCCGTAGAGTACCCAGAACCTCTACCATCGGGTGACGAACCCCCACACCGCACTACGGTATCCGCCTGTGAAGAAGCAGGATTGATGACCTACATCGGGGAGATCTTGTACGCCTCCTCGTCGAAGGAATCCGGCCTTGCCTGGACGCGCGATGCAGTCGATTTGGCCGAGTCCACGATGCTCGACCTCGGAAATTCAGCCAACCGCACTGCTCGAACTCGCTGCGCGCAGTGCCTGAAGGTTGGGCTGGAGAATTGGAAAACGATGGTTTCTTCCCTTGTTACCCGTGCTCGACAAGAAGAACAGGAGAGCAGGGATCAGGCTAAGGGTTCTTGGTTTGGCGGCAAGCACCGCGCAGAGGCGAAGTGTCTCGATCGTCGACGTTGGGAGGCTGAAGATGCTATTCTAGAGGATCGAATTCGTCGCCTGTTCCCTCTGCTCGAGGGTGAGTCTGGGCTGGATCTCCTCGCTCCAAATAGCTCTCTGTTTGTATAGTATGATTGTCTGCTTATATCCCTGGACATTCGGTTTTGCGGAGTTGTGGTTACGTTTAAACATGTACAGATTACGTTCGCCACCGCAGTCAATTTTTGATATTAAGCTTCATGGATCTACAGCCTAGCGAGGTAAGCAAATCGACCTACCTAGGTAGAGAAGTATCGACGGCTATGATGCAAGTGCCTTTCCTATCATAAGCTGCAAACCAACTCGACTACCGTAGTCTATATCACAAAGAAATATTTTTATTCTCTACGTGAATCCTTTCTTGTTATCATGGCCCTTTTTGCGTGGCTTATGGGCCTGGGCTATTAAAAAAGCATGCGAAGAAGTTTTTGCTACTTTCAGGACTTCGCGCCACAGTTTCTTCATGGCCCGGGTTCTATCAAGCTTTATATATATAATAGCTTGGGACTTCTAATAAGCCACGCTGTAGTAACCCAATGATCTGTTTCAGCTTCCATGCGCTTTGGCGAGCATCTTGGTATGAAGTGAAACGCATGACCAGACATATTTTCATCATTCGAAATATATGATGTAGGCCATTTGGAGCACCAACCGGGATATGTGTTTTCTTCAAAGAGCCTGGTCGCAATATCTACTTAGCAAGATGGGCGACTACGATTACCAGCCGATGCAACCTTGGAAGCATAGTTCGAGACAAGTAGATATAAGAATGATCCAAGAGGAAACAAAAGAAATAACAGCAAGAATGAATGTAGACTAATACATAGTAAGCTTCACCTCATTCTGTCAACTGGACGTTCAGCCCCCCAAGCATTTGACTGTGTTTCTACTGCAGAAAGACAGTGTGGTATATGTACAAGGAAAAGCCAGCCCTGGCACACTCAATGATTTCCTGGCGGGATTCGAATGGAAGTCTCGAGTATATGGGAGAATTGTGAGCGACCTAATTTAGGTGGCCTTGTCCTTGTTGTGGTAGTTGACATCGGAGTTCCAGCTGTAGATGTTAGGTTAGTTCTAGTTTTCAAGGGGTGCCATGGTGAGAGAATATAATGCTATCCACTTAAAAGCAGTTCATCCATCTGAGGTTGCAGAAACTAGCCGTTCTGCAAAACAATGCCTAGTATGTGGTGGGGGGTCGGGGAAGTCGGAACTCACAAGATGGTCTATTCCAGATATAGATTAGCTTCAGCCTTCAACACATAGCATTATTGGATGCACATACCTTATCGCCGTCTCCCCAAGGGAAGTTCTTCGTGCGGATGTTCTGGTAAGGGTACTCGGTGCGCTCCTCGAGCGGGGCCATGTGCTCCCAGTGCTCCCAGTGCTCGGACCAGAGGTTGTAGGCGTTGATACCGCCACCAATCAGGCAGGGAATCACGGCACTGCGAAGTGATTAGGTTTGTCTCTGTTGTAAGGGCATCAAATCAAGTGTTAATCTTGGTTGAAACGTACAAGATGGACAGCTTGCGCCAGAGGTCTGTACAATCATCGAGTCAGTAACGAACATTTCAATGGCCATGCGACACAATCAATTGAGTTCAGTTATGGTGGTACGTACCACTGGTAGAAGCAGCATGGTGCTTGACGGCAGCTCTCTCGCGGTTGAATTCGTTGTCAACGATCCAAGAAGGCTTGGCCTCGGCACTGTTGAAACGGCGCTGGATGGTGGAGCGGACCGGAGCGGAACGCATTTGCTGCGAAGCACGCTGGGACAGACGACCAAGATTGCGCTGAGGGAACATGGTGGGTGGTGCTAAGGAGTTCTTTTGGTGGTGGAGGTCAAAAGTGGTGCGATGAGTTCCAAAGCCGTCTTTAGCGTATCCCCGTGATCTCCCGGATTATGTAACCTGATGTCATGAAGCCTGATATCTGAGGCAAGAACGAAGAGCTATCACGTGACTGAGATCCGATATGTATGGACGTCGGGATGCTTACTCCCGCAACCCATGACCTAGATTAAACAAATAGAGGAGGCTCTAGTCCTTGTTTGACTCGACTTCTCCATTGGTATATCGGCCTCTATTGATTATTTACATTGCAAGAAATGCTGCCTTGTCCCCGAATACACTAGCGTCCAACATGGGATTCCGCATCACCACATGGAATGGTAAGTTCTATCTGAGTTGTTAGGGGCATTTGGAATGGCGAATATATACCAACAGTGTATCACTTTCTAGTCAATGGTATACGGTATGAGAGAAAGAGAAAGTTGCTAGTTGAACCTGTTCAACACTAACATAAAAAAAAGAAACCCGTTCTCCTATGAGCCATGGAGAGGAACGCGCACATTTGAGGTAAGTGTGTGTCCTTCAATTTCCCTGAGAATGTCGAGCTCATTCGGTCCGAAGTCCATGTTTGATATACTAGAGGCGGATGTTGTAATTCTCCAAGAAACCAAGATTCAGCGCAAAGACCTCCGCGATGACATGGTCTTGGTTCCAGGATGGGACTGTTATTTCAGTCTCCCTCGAGTCAAAAAAGGCAAGCTACTAGTCCGTCGCTATATAAACAGAACATTAACAGCTTTTAGGGTACTCTGGTGTTGTGGTTTACACGCGTAATGCCACATGTTCTCCAATAAGGGCAGAAGAGGGCATTACTGGAGTTCTCTGCCCGCCAAAATCCTCAACATCTTTCCGCAATCTGCCAGAAGAGCAGCAGATTGGGGGGTATCCAACATCCGATCAGCTTTTCAGGCCCACTATGACTCCCGAGAGGCCTGACTCAGAAGAAGAGCAAGAGGATGTGAGCTCGGTGCCTGATATCACAATCGATGCGCAAACCCTTGACTCCGAAGGGCGCTGCGTCATTCTAGAATTTCCTGCATTTGTCCTCATTGGTGTATATTGCCCTGCCTATCGGGATGAGAGCCGGGATACCTTTCGCATGGACTTTCTCAATGCCCTAGATTCTCGAATCCGCAACCTGATTGCGATGGGGAAGAATGTGGTCGTGGCTGGTGATATCAATATTTCAAAACAGGTCATTGATGCCGCTCATGGAATTGAGGCCATACGAAAAAGTACGATGACAGAGGAAGAATTTATATCTGCCCCTTCTCGACGTTTATTCAACCACTTGATATCGGATGGCGTGGTTATTGGCGAACGTGACAAAGGCAGGGAAAATCCTGTCCTCTTCGATGTTTGCAGGTCATTTCATCCAGATCGTACAGGCATGTATACATGCTGGGATCAGAAGCTCAATGCTCGACCGGGGAATTACGGCTCAAGGATTGACTATGTTTTATGCAGCTTGGATATGCAGGACTGGTTCTCTGACTCGAACATTCAAGAGGGATTGATGGTATGGGCTTTTCTCCTTTGGGTTGAATCATTAATTGACTGCTTTATAGGGATCAGATCACTGTCCTGTGTATGCTGTCATCAAGGAGTCAGTGAATCAGCCCGCAGGCGAAGTAAACATTCGCGATATTCTCAATCCACCGGGAATGTTTAAGTGTGGCAAGCGGCAACAGGAATACTCAAACGAGTGCGCATTGCCTGCTTCGGGGCGTTTGCTCCCCGAATTCGACATTGATAAGCGCAGAAGCATTAAAGACATGTTCGCTCGCAACCCAGTCAGCATCCCGGCGGGGCCGGCTAACATGCCCACAACTCAAGTCACGGAATCTACAGCCATGCACACAGCGTTCGGATCCACTGGCTCGGCCAAAATGGGCTCTGCGCTTATCCCTGAGAGAGATCAAGCCCCTCAGACTGTTTCTCGCAAACGCTCCCAGCCTTTACCTATTACATTCGCAAAACGCTCCAAGCCCGCCATATCGACGTCTTCTGGGGGCTCTACGTCAGGGCAAAAGACATTAACGGGCTTTTTCAAGCCAAAAGCGATCGATGTATATGAAACTACCCGGTCACAGATGGTCTCACCGCGACCTTCGACACCATCCCCTAACTGCAAACCATCAGAAATTCCACGAGAGAAAGGGAAGGCTCTAAGGATCAATCTGCAGCCTTCGGAATCCCAAGAAGACACCATAAGGAAGCGAGCCGACACTTCTACTGAATTGCCGACAGCCAGCAAGCTCGTCGATGACACAATAATTGATCCAATTGTTAGCAAGGAGGATTGGTCAAAACTTTTTACCAAGAAGCCCATTCCACCATGCGATGGACACCAAGAGCCATGTATTAGCTTGACTACGAAGAAACCTGGAATGAATCGCGGCCGCTCCTTTTGGATTTGTCCCCGGCCATTAGGGCCCAGCGGAGAAAAGGAAAGGGGTACGCAATGGCGGTGTCCCACTTTCATCTGGGCCAGCGATTGGAACTCACCAGTTGCGACACAAGAGCAATAGTATGCATGTCTTGGGAAGGGGACATTCCTCGGTAGTCAACAAATGAATATTGTACAACCACATATCAATTTTCAATTATTATGGCTGATCTTTGTACGCTCATTGCGGATTCAATAGTTGATTGGATACCGAGTATCCCTGACAATCCAAATATAGTACCTTCTAAGACAACCTGGGTAGATTTACACATACATACATAACTAATAGATAGTAATTCCAAAATTCTAAAGCCCTCTTGTCCTAACAAAATCCGTCTATCAACCAGTAAGACAATTCGTAATGCTATTTAAGAGATGTCATCTACCAAAATAGCAACACGTAGCGGGCACTCAATAACCCAAACTTCGCTGAAGACTTCTAGGTCCTTGACTGTCTTAGATTTGAAGCACTCGACGTTTGCCATCTGCCATTTCCATCCCTTCCCCCCACCCCCCGATTCCTTTTTTTTATTGGTCGCTAATTTCTTTGTCCTTATTGTTCTTCTTATTTTTGGCTTTTTTTAATTGTTTACGTTTTGATTTCTTTGTTTGATTTCTTTGTTTGATTTCTTTGTTTGATTTCTTTGTTTGATTTCTTTGTTTTGTGTTCCTATACGTATTGCATCTTGGTCAGACGCTTGTTTGCGTACTTTATTTATCTTCCTGTGGCTATAGGGATTTTCGAGTAAAGATTCATCTTGGTACCTTTTTGACATTTTGGTGGATGGAATTGGGTCTTAGGTTTCCTCCTATATTAATCTTGGTTTTTTTTATAGACCTTATATCCTCTACGCAGTTAGAAACAGACTCACTAGTTTATGTAGGTAACCTTTGGTATTTGTTTTAAGGTTCCGAGGTGACCTCTGGGTGCGGGCACTAACCCCCGGATCTGCAGTGCCACGTGGTAGAACTGGAAGATCCACTTACCCGACCTACATATATACCTACCTATCGTAACACAGATCTAGTACAAATCGAAATCATATTTTAGTGAATCATCATAGTATGTCAATCACTGTAATTTTTGGATAGAGAAGCTACATATTTATTAAACAATATACAGTGACGATCTAAATGGTGGACCTAGATATCCTGAATTGACACAGCACGATATAATTGTCGAAATGGTACTTGACGCCGAGGTGACTTTTCCCATAGCCTTACCCCTCCATAATCTTCCTTTGTTCTACTTTTACTATTCCTAATAAGGAAGTCCTTCCTAGAACGAGACATTGTGATTGGTGTTGCTGCGCAAACAAAGAAAACACATGTTTGTCACCTGCCTTTGTGATTGGTGTTGCCACTAAACAAAGAAATCACCCAACTCGTCGCCGACCTTCACCCAGCTTATTCCTCAACCTCACAGCTCCTATATTTGTTTACCTCCCACCTCGTTTCTTCTCTTCTTTCTTCCCTCTCCTCTCTTCACCCTTCTCTTTTTTTCCTTTCACCCCACACCTTGTTTCTTCACAGATATCCTCTTCATTCTGAACCCTTACTACATTGTTCAATATGTCCACTCTTGCTATTTCCGTCCCCTCGGGACATACCCCCACACACCTTGAGATGCTTCTGTTTCGATACGTCGAAACCTTGTCCTTCCGACATGCTCTTAGGGTCCTGGAGCGTTGGCCTGAGAATTCTCCCGTTGGAGAATATGCATCTGATGTTCTACGTGAGCTTCCTGCAAACTACTTCCAGCAGCCTCGACTCTTGCCCACCGGGCCACGCTTTGTCTACACCAATGGCGTGCTGGAACTGAAACGTATTGATGAAGCTTTGCCCATGCAACAAATCCACCCAGACTCAACCACCGGATGTGTTGGTACTGCGATGCAGGATGTACTCTCCCCTCCCTTGGAGCAACGACGTCTCCGACCTCTCAATTCGTTCATGATATTCCGGAGTAAGTAACATCTTCATGGTTATTTATTCATTTCTGACAGTATTTTAGGTTTTTGCGCTCCCATGTTTCCCGGCGTTCCCCAGAAGGTGAAGTCGATGGCCATCAGCGAAATGTGGCAAGACGATACCTTGAAGTCCCACTGGGCTATCCTTGCCAAGGCGTACACGATCATTCGCGACCATTTCAATGTCGACACGCCTTCCCTTTCTACCTTTGTTGATCTTTGCCTGCCTTTGATGGGTTTTCTGTCTCGTCAGCAGTATCTCGCCTCGTCTGGTTGGATTATCCAGCCCGATGGGAACAGCCTCAGCTTGCGCAAGATCGGCTCGTCAACCTTGAATACTATCGTTACGCCAATTATCTCTGTGGACCAAGTTGTGCAACACTGCACAGACAACAACTTTGCCCAGGAGCGTGATGAAGAGTGGGACAAGCACATTTCCGAAGATGGAGCCGTGTTCGCTGTGGAGCCATTGTTCTCAGCCACTATTCCGGAGCCTCAGAACTGGGTACTCGGCGATGTTCCCCAGTGGCCAATTGAAGAATTTGAAGTTGATGAGATGTACTCCACCCTTGATACCGAGCGCGACCACGGTATCCCTGCCATCTATGACCCAGACAATATCTCTCATTCTACTACGATGGCGACCCTTGATCGAATCTTTGGGACCAACTAGAGCTCTCAAGTCTCTACTTATCCCTACTGTGCTCTAATTTTGCTGCTTCTCAATCTCGACCCAGTTCAGCGACACTTGATATGACCATCACCTACGAATCACAATCAACAATGCCATTACTTTGTCCGTCTTCTTTCGCTGACCGGTCGCCCACGAGCATACACGGATCGCTTTCACCAATCAGATGCTCAGATGCGCTTTTTCTTCTTCACTCAAAACTCATAAAACCCAAAAAAAATTGAAAACAAAAACTCTTCGAAAAAAAAAAAATCAGTTCAGTCCCCTTTGTTTACCGCACAATTCTCCTGTATTACTAGCTGCTTTTCCCCTGCCCAATTGTTCCAGCTTTCGATTCTTCTGTTTTCGCTCATGACAAGTTCTCAGGAACTGTGCTGACTGGCTTTCTTTCCCACGGGGTTTTCCAGACGCTCTTTTCTTGCAACGTGAGCATTTTTTTATGTACTTTAAATTGCAATTCAATTAGTGATTTTGCTCCATCTACTTTCCCGCTTATAGCATGTAAATCATAAATAGATACGTAAAGACTCGTCTCCAAGATACGGTCGCATCCTTTTACATCATGGGTATCCAGTAAAATATTTTGATAACCAACCATTCCTCCAAATCTCATATTTCTTGGATTCCGAACCAGTCATTATCATTGCCTCAGTCAAAAGTCTATTTGAGTCTACATTTCACTTTGACCTTGAGGCTCCGAGCACCCAGCGACGTCTAGACACTCGGTTCTTTGTTTGCGTGCATGAGATGACGTCTCGATACCCTCTGTTGATAGCCGCCGCTAATCGGGTCCACCCGCGGATCGGCATGCATTGCATCTATGGTTCCACCAGTCGGGTATGGAACCAGGCTTGGCATGCAGCCTCGAGCAGGGCACATGGAGGAGACCTCGGGACGAGCCGTGCATGCGACCGTGCACTTTACAAGGTTGTCTCCTGGGACCAGAACATAGACACAGATGCAAGGGGAGTAGATCTACATACTACGATGATTTAGGGAACTGGGTAAGTTGCTTGCATTCGCTATGGGAAATTAAAACAAGATACTAACTACGGGGTTTGGGAAGATGGCCCAGGCCGAAGAACGCAAAGTGCGACACGGACGAAACAGAACTCCTCAGGATTAGGATGCGGAATATACACAGACAGCTAAGAGCGAAAGACACCACAAACGACGATTTCCCTAATCCTCCTGGTATGAGATCTTGCGCATTTCGCCCAGACGCTGGCGGGCGCGAGCGAGACCGTTCTCGAGTTGGAGGATTTCGACCTGTTGAGAGGATACATGTTAGCATTGGGTGGGTGGAATACAAGGGGAATGAGACGTCACATACCTGCTGCTCCATCTCGCGGACCTTGAACTCGTGCGAGCTCAGCTTTCCGTAATCTTCTCCCTCGTCACCATCACGGTTCTTCTCCTTGATGATGTCCTGCACCTGTCGTACAAGGGCACGGCAAGCGGCACCGACAGCCTTACTGGCGGTCTCTAGGCGATCCTGGGTCTTGCTCATGAATGTTGCCTTGACGCGACTGGCTGCGACAAGCTGGGCAGTGCTGGCTGCAACATCGTTGGAGGCGACAATAAGTTGCTCGGGCGAGTTACGGCCTGAGATTACACCATCAGCGGTCTCGATCAATGTGTTGGTCGAAGAGGCAACTGCTTTGGCGGCAGATATCAAGCCTTCCGTCCAGCGGTTGTTCTTCTTGTAGAAAGCAGTGCGAGACGAGCTTCCGCGGCCTTCACGAACAATCTCCTGCTGGGTCTCTGTGGCGGCCTTAATCAGCTCTGAGATTGCGTTGGTGACAGCAATGGCGGCGGCAAGAATAACGTCGTTGATGCGCAGCTCGTAGGTCGAGAACCCATCACGGGGCTTATTTTTAAGCTTAGCCAGACGCTGGGCAGCTGCGTCAATAGCATCAGCGGCCTTGAGCAGTTCCTGGTCAACAAGGTCACCCAGATCACCACTGGTGCTGATTTTGCTATTCTTCGGAGCGAACGAGTCAACCAGCTTCGACAACGCCTGTAGATCACGCTGGACTTCGAGATTGTTGTTGATAACAACATCGGTCTTCTGCAGTGGTTCCAGACCTTCGAGACGGAACGACTGCAAGCCACGGAAGAACCGCACGGTCGCCTGAGCAGACTTACGTGCAGCATTAACCAGGTGATCCGAGCTCTTATCGTCGGTCGCGAAGCGGGTAAGACCCTTGGTGTTGCTCAACACATCCGAGACAGATCCAGAGAAGATGGATACTGTGCGGATGATCTCAGCATGGGGACTGTTGGGGCCATCGGCAACAAAGTTGTTGAAAGCCGTGGAGAACTCGGTCGCAGAAGCCGACGCCTTCTCAATCTGTGAAAGAACATATGGAGGAGAAGCATTTTGGTTACCGGCCTGCATGGACGAATCTAGCTCATACAGAGCGTCATCGACACGCTGCACACCAGTCTGCAGCACAGAGTCGATGATATCGTTGATTTTAGCGACTGTGCCGTGGAGCACAGTGTCAATCTGGCTATCTAACGCATGGTCGACATCGCCTTGGCTCTGCAGTGGAACATGGTCAGTATGCAGACATCACATATGGTCAACATCAGCACTTACCAGTCTCAGCTCCTCCAGTTCCTCAAGAGCCTGGTCCATACCAGCCTTGTACACCTCAATCTCCTCGTCCTTCTCGCGAAGAGCCAGGTCAAGGTCTTCCTGGCGGTCATTGTTGCGACTAGAATGTTCGTCCAATGCGCGCGTTTTAATCTATAAAGTCAGTATGAATCACAAACTTAGGCAATGTGGACAATTACTCACTCGAAGGGACTCTTCTAGGTCAGCCATCTCGCGGTTATACTTAGACAGCAAGGACGAAATCTCGGTGCCCTTTGAGCGTTCTGCGTTTTCAGCACGCTCAAGAGCCATGCGAAGCTCGCGCTTGATCTTCTCCAGGTCATCCTTGTTGGTTCCCGTCAGACGGTCACGGTCATGCAGAGCACGATCACGTTCCCGAATCATGTCAGCCAGCTCCAGGTTCTTGGTCTTCAGCTCGCGCTCCAGCTTCTCTCGTCGTTCAATTGCCTCTTGTGCGGAAGCTGCCTTGAGCTTGAGGCTCTTGGTGGTCTGCAGAAGATCGAGGTGCTCTTGTCGGAGCTGCGAGTACAGCTTGGCCAATGCCTCGTACTTCGATCGCCAGGTGTTCACCTGCTCTTGCAGAGATCGAATCTGATCGTCCTTCGAGGCATTCTGCAAGTTCAGGTTCGAGTTCAGGTGGTTCATCTGCTCCTCAACTTCTTTAACACGGCGGTCATATTGCTGCAGCATCAGCTGGTCGCGCTCATACTGTGCACGGGCGTTAAGGTTCTCCTGCTCCAGCTCTGCCAGTCGGCCTTGTGTCTGTGTCTGGTACTGGTCGCGGAGAAGCTGCTCCTGTGCCAATCGCTGCTGTTCCGCCTGCAAGCGCTGCTGTTCCTCGAAATCGTTCTGGGCTTGCTGTTGGGCGAGGACTTGCTGGCGTTGTTGGTCCTCCCACTGCTGCTGCAGACGTTGCTGCTCCGCCTCGTACTCTTCTTGCTGGCGTTTGGCTTCGTTTGTCCAGAAATCATTGATCGGCTCCGGTTCGGCAGAGGCCTTCGGTGGTGGCGAGGGCTGGGTTTCCATTTCTCTCGCCGGCCGTCTGGGGAGAGCTGGGCGATCGTCATCTTCGGCAAGCAAACTAGGCGGATCTTGTGGCAACTTCGGGATTGTAATGAGCCCTGTCAGGTAGCGTAGGTTGGAGCATTCATAGTAGAACCGAACAAGACGGTGGTGCTGGGCATCATATCGGCCTCGGAGTGGCTCGAGAGCTTCGTCCTCTCCGGTGGCTGCAGGAAACATCAGTCAGTGGCCATCGAACGAAAATTACAAGATCTAAGAGCAACATACTTGTGTGCATGGCTCGCAACATGCTGGTAATGAACTTGTAGATGCCATAACTCTCCTGCACAAGTGGCACCAATGCCGAGATTCGACATTCATTGTTCGTGCCGGACTGGAAGTTCGAGAAGATGAGCTTTTGGAAGGAATCGATTTGATCTTGCAGACCCATCAAATCGCTGATGGTCTCGTAGCTGTATAACTGTCAGCACTTCTCTCCATAGAAGCAAAGACCAGGTATGTACCCACCCTTCGTTCGGGTCGTTGATTGACTTCAAACTGATGTATTCTTCATACTCAAACAAGCCTGCTAGTGTCAGATACCAGCCCTTCATATAATTGCGCAACTGTAGATGACATACCATTGAATTCAGGGTGATTGCGGTGGAAGTTCAGTTTCGCCTCAAGGAAGAAGACGTACTCCCGAATGAGCGGCGCATATCCTATCAAGAACTGTCAATATCCCGTCCGTCGCATGTGTTGTAACTCCTCGGGCAAAGAGAAATTGCGCAGTTGTCCTGCGTGGGGATCCATACCTCGAACGCCGTCGCCTCCGACTCCTCGCATCAAGCTATCAATCCAGTTTGTATGTTGCTGCGCCTCACGGACAACCGTGGGGTGACCCTCCTGGAGAACCTTGTGTATCGTGATCAGAGCCTTGAATGTCTGGACCTCGTCGGCGAGGACGGGCTGCCTGTGAACAACGAAACCGCGTCAGCCATCTCGAAAACAACAGCCTGTTTCCATGCCTTCCGGGTATCCCGAAACGTACACTTTCATGCCAGCCCAGAAAGCCGCCGATGACTTGTGGTCCCACGTATAGACGATGCAGCTCCGCACATGTTTCCCTGTAGGCGCGGGGGATGGTTAGTTCGATTCGGACGGTATAAAGCCGAGATGGCATCAATCGGTTCGATGGGGGTCAATGCAATCTGATTAGAACATACGTTTGGGAGCGGTTTCCTCTGTTGTGAGATTGTCAGTCCATCATGTCCGCTCTCCCGCATCGGACTCATCCCCGATTAACAACTTACCAATACTAGTGGCCTTGCGGATATTGATGGCCAAATCGGCCTCGGTCCTGCGCAATCCCTTATCAGACAAGCACTCTCAAAATTCCATATCGATCCTACTTACCGACTCATCGTGGCCGTTGGGGTGTGTGCTCAGGGGGGAGGGGGAGTGGATGAATGTCGGAAAGGTTTGTCGCGTTGACAAGATCTCGAACCCGGACAGCGCACAGACGCTAGAGATAAGTTGCGCTGACCGGAATAAGCGGATAATTCGAATCGCGAAGCAAAGAGAATTTGGTGAAGCACCAAAAAAGACACACGTGGGAGTTCGAGCAATGACGTTGATGGGGAACGGGAAAGCTGGCGCCTGTCGGGAGTCTTGGCGACGCCTAAGCCGATACGGGTTTGGGCCACGGCTTGGATTTTAAGGCTTTATCCTTTACGAAGGCTGTCTCGGTCTACGCGTCAAACATATATGATGTACACACTGTAGGTCAGGCAGCAGGAATAAATGAGGTATCTATCTAGGCCAATCTCTACGGCATGCTTGGTCTACTTCGTTCGAAACAACTTACGATTGACATGGATATATTGGATCTCGGAGGATTAGCTACAAACATAAAGGAGACACATAGGGGACTTGGAATATTCGGTGCGAGAGAGCGAGCGCATGTAGGGATAACCAGCCTGACATGGAGACTTCTGTCCAGCACAGCAATATGGCCAAGCAATCAAAAGGTCCAAAGGGTCTCGTCTTCCAATTCGATAGTTGCATACATCTATGTGAGCCAATCCCCTCTTTCGTGTGGGGGCGAAGGCAACGAGCATTACAATGAGGGTATTTCCACCCTTCCAGTAGATGGCAAGGCCTCATGACTGCCTGGGGTTGAAGAGGGCGCCTGGTCAACAGAGCGCAGCGATTCAACTCCAGACAACTCTTCTTGCTCTTCAGAATCATCCTCAAGCTGTTCAGCCTTTGATGATGTCTCACTCTCGACAGGAGTCGGGGCTATCAGACTAGAGTCTGATTCCGGGTCCCCAGGGGCCGGGCTATTTGGCTCAGATTCTTGAGGTGCCTCCACCACGAGCAGTTGATCAGTGCCTTGGTCATTCTGCATTTCAGGGCCCATGGGTTTCCTGCGAGGTAAATGTGATTGTGGGAGCTGTTGCTCTCCCGTCTTGGGGCGTTCAGGCACTGTGTGTGCTGCCACGGGTTTACGCTTGGGCAATGTTCCTGAACTCCTCTTCAAGGCATATTTGTCTGGGCGCGGTAAGGGTGTTCCAAGTGGTGGATGAGGATGACCACGCCCAATCGGTTGGTTAAGCGTGCCTGAAGGAGCCCGCGGCGATTCTGGACTGTTATTTGGGTCACCTTTACCAAACACGCTCCAGCTCCATTTCTTGGCTGCGGCAGTGGCTTGCCCAAGAGTCATTGGACCGGAAGACTTGTCATCGGAAGATGTAAAGGATTTGGTGAGGGTTTCAATTGTGCTGCGTCGTGGAGCTGTGTCGCTGACGACAGATGTAGCGGAACTACCTCGAGAGTTTCTCAAGCTGGAGAAGGTCCCGCTCTCCATGCGAGTAGAAGAAGGTCGTTGAATAACACTTTCATGAGAAAAGCTAGCGCTGTCAATAGAATCCGCAACCAACGACTCGCGGCTATGGACCGCATTTTCTGGCATCATAAGACCACCTGTAGGTGGCGAGGTGCCTGGAGTTCGCTGCGGGGATGCAGGCGGGGACCGGCTTGATATCTCTATCATGGCGTTTGTTGCATGACTCCTTTCTTCGCCTTTGTTCTCTGAAACAGGCTTGTCAACTTTGGCATTGTCTGCTGTAACTATCGGGTCTGCAGCATGAGAGAAGGTCTGTGACCGAATAGCTCGAGGCAGCGGTGTGATTTCCGATCTCTCGACACCAGTGGAAGTTGCAGTGGAACTGTTCGATTGGTGATCCGATAGGGAAGATTTCAGCCCTTTGCGCGACTTTTTCTTCGCCGTTCCGGACTCGGAAAGAACAGGCATGCTCATCGTGCGATCGTCCTTGGACTTGAGGACCTCAATGGAATCACTAGCAATACTCTTCGGGGTCGGGGGAGCTTCGCCAGATTCATCGGGTATCTCCGGTATCTCTACCTGAGCACTTGACTCTGGAGTGTCTTGCTGCCAGATACCACCGCGGAAAGCTTGGCCGAGGGAATTATGGAAGGGAACATCGTCCCAGAAAGGCAGAACAATGCTCTCTGCCACTGCTTCGCGGATCTTACTCTCGATTGTGCGCAGGATGAGGCTGTATGTGATTTGTTTGGAGCTGACAATGGGTTGGATGTCCATTTCCATCTTCGGCGTGGTTTCGAAAGACATCCAGATGCGATTGCTGGGTGGGGGCTTGAAGCGTACCAACAAATGGCCTTCAAGTTTCTTCAACACAACGGCAAGGACAATATCGACCTCTCTAGCCTTGAACCGAGGACCCAAGTCAATGCGGACAGTCGCCGAGATCTCGACCCGGAAATTTCCAGTGTATTGGATATCGGCCTCCACACAGCAATTACCGTCCACCGTCAAGTCCTTCAGTCTTGGGTTGGTGATAAATGGAGCCCCTTCGCCCATGTCAATTCTCTGCAAGCCGATCTTGCTAATAAAATTAGGCTTGTTGGCACGAGAGATCTTTTTGACGATCTTACTCCGCACGATTTCCTCCAACTCAGGTGTCCGGTACATAGCTAGGAACCACCTTCCAAGGAAAGCATTGATCCAACGTGTCTGCAGCTGCTCTTCAGAGGAATGCAGGCGCTGAACTAATGTGACAATATGCTTTGTATCAAACTCTTGGTGCTTGGGCGGGCGATCAGGCGAGTCCCACAGCCGGTTTTGGTTCTGCAGCATGGCGATATAGAAATCCTCCTTCTCAGACAGGTTTTCAGAGAAGAGATAAAACGGCGGAGTTGGCCCTCCTAGATCTCCGAGCGAAGCCAGTCGCCGAGAGAGGCATATGGCATTTCTTTTGAGCCACAGCTCTCCTTCTGGGATATCACCTTCTCCGGCGGAAATGGTCACATCGTGGTGAGCAAGCGAAATGACATACCGCACCTCGACCTGATTTACGTCATCGTAAAGCATCAAGTGGCCATGTCTGAGCACCAATCAGCCAACGTCAGCAATCAGCCTTTAAGTGATAAACAACCTATACATTCAGACAAAGAGAGGCATACCGGAGAACAATGTAAAAGACATTCCGCGCCCGCTTCGTGGTCTTTCCATTCGCCTTCGCCGGATCGATGCTAGGTGCCTGCTTTCGATCGAATAGACTCCGGTACATAGTCTGGTACACGCTAGGGCTTTCGGCTGCAACGACTTCCCCCGCGGGGGTCGTTCTCTCGGGGGGTTTCCCATTCACACCACCGGGAACATATTCACGACAGACAGCAAAGTATCCAGCAGCGACATCAGACTCGTGGGTGCGATGGAATTTCTCTGCCAGCTGGTCGGTGCCGGACTTGAGACTAAAGTCGTCATCGGTAGGTTGGCGGACGGGATCGAGCGCTTTCTCGCATGATTGCAGCGGTTGCGGTGCAGATGGAAGAGTCAGGTAGGCGTAGAGGATGATTGAGGACAATACTAGTGGAATGAAGGTGATTCCACCGAGGGCGTAAACGAAGAGGAAGCTAGCGAGCGAACCCATCGGGAACCAGTCGATCAATGCGGGCGGGTCGAAAGCTCCATAGTTTGGGAGAGCGACCTCCAACAGCTAAGATAGGACACGGCAAAGGAAGAGAGACCGGCTCCAAAATATAAAACGAGCGAGATGAGGGACAAAGAATTATCGCAAGAGAGTAAGTTGAGATACGAAGAGTTGCAGCTTCCACAGGCACGGGATGACGGAGGTGCTTGGTACCTCGGCATTACAGGTTCGGTATTTGTATTTCTTCCAAGTTACTCGATCTAAACGCATGTAATATTGTATTTATTTTGTAATTTACATACTTGTTGTATCATTACTTGTAGCTTCCCTTGTACCCCGCCTGAATCGACCAGCTGTCAGGAACGTGAAAGGAACTTTTTGGAAATCAACAACCTCACCTGTTACTGTTCGAGTCGGTGAGTTGGTTCAAATTAAATTGTATATGGTCGTTCTACCCCAAGCTAGATACTAAAGGCTTGAATTCAGCAAAAGTGTCGATACTTATTCTCTTTATGCAGTGCAACAGTGACTTTTTTAAGACCCACCGAGCTTATACCAAAGCGCGTGATAAGGGTCTCATACCTAAAATACAGAATCCTGCATTCTACATACAACATAAGGTGAGAAGAGAAGAAAATCTTTCTATTGGTGAAGATCAAATATATATCCAACCATCTAAGACATCTAAGTGTACACAGGCATGTAGAGAGAAAAAAACACTATCACCTGAAGAAACAACAAGGAATGGGCAAAAGCTGAAAGACAAAAATATGTGTACATGGGAGCGCAATCTCCTCTACTTCCTGCGATTCATGGTCTTCTCGCACATCTCAATCAGGCCGGTCTTGGCATCACTGTCTGGGAAGTCGCTGATGGCGGCAATGGCCTTGTCGGCGTATTCCTGGGCCAGAGCACGGGTCTGCTCAACACCATCACTGCGGTAAACGAGCTCACGGGCCTAATGGAAGCAAATAGTTAGTATCATCATACCAAGCAAGTTCACACGCCATTTTGAACACTCACCAGCTGCACATCACCCTCCTTGCGGAACTTTCGTCCGACCAGAGGACCAAGTTCCGGGTTGCTCTTCCACGCAAACAAGAGTGGCGCAGTAGCCAATCCAAGCTCCAAGTCTGCACCAACAGGCTTGCCCATCTCCGCCTCAGTGACTGTGTAATCCAACATATCATCAACAAGCTGGAAAGCTAGACCCAAGTTGCGGCCATAGGCGTACGAGGCCTCGATCACCTCCGGGGCACTGCGTCCCAGGACCGCAGCAGAGCGGCAGGATTTGCTGATCAGACTGGCGGTCTTCAGGTAAGTCTTCTGGAGGTAGTAGGCAAGTGTCTCGTCGGTGTAGACAGGTCTCGATTCATCTTGCGCAGTGTTCTTCAGTTGCATGAACTCGCCCTCCACCAGATTAGCGATGACAGTGGCCATGAGTTCGGTGACCTCGGGATCACGCAGACGAGCCAGCGCTACCGAGGCACGCCCGAGCAAGAAGTCGCCCGCCAGCACGGCCATCTTATTTCCGAACGCTAGGTTCGCGGAGCTATTGGCGCGACGTGTCACGGCATTATCGATGACATCGTCGTGCAGGAGAGATGCTGTGTGGATCAACTCCGTGATCTCGGCCAGCCGCCGTTGTGAAGGTAGGATGTTGTCATCTCCCGAAAAGTCATATTTGCTCTCAGCGTTCGGGGCTACGAGCGGGTTCATTTCTGGGTTGGCGTCTTCGAGGATAGATGGCGCACTGAAGGATGAATCGACGGGGCTCGGTTTGTCCGTGTAGGTGTGGTGCTTGCGAGGGTCCAGGGCTGTCGCCTGGGACATTAGGAGGACAAGCATGGGCCGCATGTGCTTACCCTCGCTATGAGTGTAGTACTTGGCGACCTTGTCCAGCGCTGGGTGACCCGATCCAAGCAATTGTCGGATGTTCTTGGTGAGGAACTTGAGCTCTTTCCCAACCATTCTCAATGGGTCGACGGAGATACCTGGAGGCGCCTTCGGCATACCCTTGAAGATGGCCTGAGCCGCTGACACAGCAGCTCCAAATGGCGAGGCATCCCGCCGGCGCGTCGGGTGGTATTTGCGGGATTGGAGAGCAATATGCGCGAAACGGAGGTCATCGCGGAGGCATTGGGAACAGACAGTTGTTCGTGATGAAAGGATCAGCCCGGTGGCTGATGCGGTTCGAGCTCCCATGCTCAATGCGAGGGCTCTTAAATTATAAGCGAGGGAATCCAAATCAAACCATAGGAACCCGATCCCAGGAAACGATACCGATGTGAGGTGTTTGCGGAGTACAAGGACGAACAATCTTGCGGGCGGGAAGATTTCGAGCTCTCTCGGGTCGGCACGGACCCGGTGCTACGCAACCAAGTATGACTCGGCGGCCTGTTATCGACACTTATGTACTCTTAAGAACAGCATCAAGGGGATGATAATCCTAGGGGGGGATTACAATGTACAAGCCATTAACCACTCAGTTGAGATACGATTCTAATAAAGGCACAGGGCAAGAAATAATTCCAGTATAATAGACACAGAAGACTGCGCCGGCCATCTTGGTCCTGCATCCTGCAGATTCCCCTTCGTACACATCCGAATAAAGAGCCAGAATAAGGAAAACAAATTGCACAATTAACACACGGGTGGAAGAAGGCCGCTACGAGGTAGAGACCCATGCATGGGACCAGTGCGGTAGAGGGGGAAGTAAAAAAATGCTGTATCGATTATGGAACAACCACACTCCTCTTTAAATGGCATCGAAATCACCACCGGCATCTTCATCGTCCATGTCTCCCTCCTGGATCTCCTTGGCAAGCTCGCGCTCTCGTTCCCGAGCTTCTTGGGCACTCTTGAGCTCCAGGCGGTGCTGGTTCATGGGGAAACGCATAGCCTGCGATCAGACGAGTCCATGTTAGTAATGGCAAAAAAAAAGGTTCAGCGAGGGAGATAGAGTAACATACCTTAACACTCTCATCGTGGAGGGCTAGACAAGCGCGGATACGCTCGTGGAAGGCCTCGCCAGGTTCTCTAGTCGCGTAGATGTCACCAACTTCCTTGCTCTTCATGAACCCGTGCTCGTGATCAAGTGTGGCCTCAATGACACCATCCCGAATAGCCTTGGCCACAATGTACTCCGCAGATTCTTCACTGTCAAGTCCAAGGCGAAGGCAAATATCCCGCAGAGAGATACGGGAGTAAGACAGCGACATCATGCGAATACCGGTCTTGATAACATTCTGTCGCAAACGCAGGATCAAGGTGTATGTGCCATCCTTCCGGAAAGTCTCGCTGTGAGTGTTGACAATGTTGAGGAAACCATCCAGATCAGCAACACTGACTGCCTGAGAAAGCAACAGATAAGGGTGCATAGCCCGTTCCAAAGCCGGCTGGCGGAAGACTGCGCGGTCAGGAATATCACCCATCAACAGCTCCACAACGACCAACAACTTATGGGAAGCCTGGTAGAACCCACGAGCAACCGGGCTGGCAGGTGACTTGCGGGTAGCACCGATCAGATGGCTGTGGGCCTCCGTGTATTGCAACTGGATGGCACGGATGCGGCCGAGGTAGAACATATAACGAGCAATCTGATTGTTAGACGCAGCCACGGGGAATGGGTTGTGCGAGATCAGTAGATCTGCCTGTGAGATATGAGACGTGGACAGATAGTTGCGAAGCAGCAAGGTCATCACAGTAGCCTGCGTATCGACATCTTTCCGGAGCACAGCTGTGCGCAGTGCCGCCAACAGTGGCTGGCGGATAGTGGTAACAGCCGCTGCGGGAGAAGGAGGAAGCGGAGCGACTTGCTCGAAGAAGAGAGAGTAGTAAAAGTACACGCGGGCGGCGAGAGAATCCAGCGTACGGCGGTTCAGTGCGCGCAGGCGCTCGATCAAGCTTGTCGAGAACTGGACTCCCTTCTGAATCTCCCGTTGATCGAACAAGTATATCTGGACGAGAATGGAGAGATATGCATCCACCTCAGCAAGGGTCTCCTTAGGGATGGGCTTCTTATCCGAGTCAACTTCCATCTGCGAGCTAGCTGGAGCATTCTCGAAAGCATTGGTTTGGCCAAGAGCTTCCAACAGGAACGAGGCGGTTGAGCTAGAAGCGGAATAGGTATCCACAATGACTTCGGCGAGGACCTCCGGGGTGAGGTGTTTCCGCATCGACGATATCGATCGGAGAACACGGAGGGTAAATCTAGGGTCGAAGTGGGCAACGGCTCGCTCGAGCAAGGTGAAGTTGAATTTGATGTCTAAACCCACGCCGAACAAAGAGGCATTCATCGTTAGAAACCTGGGCTTATTTTCAGCAAGAAGAACTAGACGAACCTTGAATCGCCTTGGTTGTCGGGTCGACCTCGGGCTCGGTATTCTCGACATCACCATCCTCCGCACCTTCCATCGTCACATCCTCCTCCTTATCCTTGCCGGAAGATCTGGAACCCTTAGTCGGGGGCACTACAACAGTCATCTTCTCGTTACTTTTGCGGTCCTTGCTGGTGTTGGATGAGGATGTAGGCGCACCTGCCGTATCCTCTCCCATCTCAACATCTTCGGATCCATTCACACCCTTCTCGGTTGACTTGGAACCATTCGTATGCGACTGATCATTCTCTCCCATGCTGCCGTTTGATGCGCCCTTTGCGTCTTTCTTGGTCGGAGCTGACTTGGCCTTATTGGCGGCGGCGCGAGTGGTGGGCGCCTTGTCTTTCGCACCCGAGCTCTGAGCGTTCGAGGTTGCCTTTTCACCGTTAGCAGATGAAGAGGTGTCGGATTTATTGTTTGATCGCAAAGAACGCCTTTCGGCCGGCATCTTTCTCAAGCTATCGAGCTCAGCTGGGCAGCCACCAAGCTATCGGAAGAAGTAGGGGGAAGGGCGAGTGAGCACGATATGAAAACAGAAAGCAGAAAAGCAATTTATAGAGCCAAGCTGCCGATATCACGAGTATGATGAAGAAAAACTGGTGCTGACAGATGGATGAAGTGGATGGGTGATGTGATGTCAAGAGATGGGATGAACGGGCGCAAGAGACCAGATGAGCGCTTAGTCAGTGGAGCTTACCGGGGCGGACTTAACTTGGCACTTTTGCTATCGAAGCTGTTAGAAAGGCGACAAAAGGGCATTGAAAAAAAAGCTACAAAGAGAAGAGAAACAACATGTAAATCAGAATTAAATTGGCGTTATCATATTCAGTAAATTTCAACGTGGCTAGACGTGGTTGCTGATACACAGACACATTCTGAATTCATGCCTCAGGCATATATGCAGCTTTCCGAGAGTAAACAGTGCGGTGCAGTGTAGACCATTCAATCACTCATCCTTCACGATCTAGAACTCTCAAAACACCCGCAAACATGTCGTTGCTCAATTCTCACCTAGAGCAGATTACGCTCTCTTCCAATGCTATTGCCAATTTGCCGTTAGTGCTTGTGATATCCCTCAATAACCATGTTGCTTTCACTAACGCAAGCGTCCAGGTTTCCTCCCCCACGTATTTTCACCACTGCACTGTTGGGCTCCCACGATATCACAGCCTTAATCCGTGATACTGAAGCCCACGAACGAGCACTCTTCCAGGTCGACCCCTCTACCAAGGCCCATGGATCACAAAGACGCGCCACACGACGGGGGACTATGTTCCCTGCTGAGACCGAAAGGGAGTCAATGGCAAGCCGCATTTATTCCGCGCGAGACAACCGTAACCAGTCTGCAGTGGCAAGAGTACTGGGACACGATATGATGGAAGAGATCAAGCGATCAGCGGGCACCTCAACTAGGGGACCCCGCGGGGAGGTCAACATTGAAGTGCTCCTTCGAGGCGCCGAGATCCTGTGCAATGTCTAGTGAGTTCTATGCCTCTGATAATAACTTATAGTTTAATCTAACCAGCTCAAAGTCCAGTTGCCGGTGCACAGGAAAAGATTGCCAACCTTCGCTATCGACATGAGATGATCAGTGAGTCCATAGCACAGTTGGAAGGTAGGGTTGCAACAAACACTGCAGAACTGGATCAGATGAGACACTCTTATGGGGACAATGAAGATGATTTTCCCCCCGCACCAGTAGCACAACCAGAGATCCCGGAGGTCACTGATGAGGATATTGAGCGAGAGTTAGCCGAAATCCGTGTCTTGGAGCAGAGGAAGCGAAGGCTAGAAGAGCGGGTTACAGGCATGGATCGTGATCTCGGTGGTTTGATAGGCTGATTCTTCTATTTCGCCATGTTTGAATTCCTACATTGTGGAATACTTTCTATTGACCTCTTGTCTCCGTCCCTACCCAGCACAAAAGGACATCTTGCTCTGTGGACACCTCCTCCGGCTGGATACCACAAAGTTCTCTCAAAAAAGAGTTTTACAGTTTGATGACTCGCCCCTGGTTTAACCTGCGCTAGTCATGTCTCCGATATTTATTGGTGACAACAGGGTCTGGCAAGTTGTTATACTCAGCCAGAATAGGCCCCTCAGTGCCGCAGGCTGTTTTTATACTGAACCTTTCTTCTGGGAAAAATTTACCTTGTCGTCAAAAACGCGCCTCGCGTCCTGCGACAAGGTCATTCCGACTAGCAACCTCCGGTGCCCACATTATCCATGCCAAACTACCCATGAGACATGCCCACGATACAGCTTTCCATGCTTTACGATAGTAATGAATACCAAGACCAATTCATTAGTCACGCTACTACCACTCAGTATCAGCAGGATTACCTACGACATAATACATAGTAGAAACTACGTACCATTTACTAGTGGGTTTCTGTTATTTCTTCTATTTTTGGCTTTCTCACTCCATTTTAGGGCTCACCTCTTGCCGCCCTTTGTGGGTATACCTATACAAGTACCGAGAACGTTCCTCGGATGACCACCGTGACAGGAATTAATCTTTTTCAATAAATCGGCAATTCGGTTTATAGCATCTTTGAACTGTGGAGTAATCAAATCCCGAATCTATAACAGGGAACCATACATCCTTTCGATATTTCTGCAATCCAAAAGTTCCACGATGTTCTTAGGTAGAAGGGCACTCTGCTAGCTGGCAGGTCATATGTTTCTGATGTGCTCAGCAGGGCTGGAAACAGACCTACTACAGAATTTCATAGACCCTTTCTTTTTGCGAATGACAGACCCCTGGTGAGACTACCAGTGCCCACGCCGATAATGCATGTCTACAGAGTTTGAATGCCTGCTTGCATTGTCGAAAGACTAAGAAGTAGATACCTATAGATGGGGTCTTTTTACTTTCTATAAGAGAGCAAGAATAGTCGACCGCTTATGTGGCCTTGTGATGTCTTTTGGGTGTCTTCTTCTAGGTATTTCCTCCCGCTTCCCGATCACTCTACAGGCTTCTCCGAGAGCCTTCACTTTCTGGGGCATTCCGGGGAACATCGGGGCGTAACGGCCTAGATTACTATTAGAAGTGGATCAATGACTACAAAGATACTACTTACTTCGGAAAATCATGAATGAGTTCAATGGTTGTGGCGTTATCCCCCCTTCTATGGTTAGATAAGAGGAAGAGAGGAACAAATCAGAGTGAATATAGATATTAGGAGAACATTGAGGTAAATAGCGAATGTGAGATTGATTGATTGAGCAGTTGAAGAACCTAGGTTCTAGACTACGAAGTTGATAATAAAGAATAATACAAGTAAGATATTAACTTGATCCTTTAATTAGGCCTTACTTACTCCCTGTATCTGAAGTGATTTTGATATCTTATATCTATTAGTGATAGAGCTGTTAGTCTTACAATTCTAGAAATTGAATTGGATCCTGGTTTCACTCTTTATCTAATTTCCATTAGTATCCCTATTTCTGTATAGAAAGGCTCTATATAGTCTAAGTGTTCTTTTCACCGTATATACAATGTAGAGTAATAGATCCTATAACTAACAGAACTAAGAAAATATATCTAAAAAGACATCTAAAAAGAGATCTAAAAGACACCTGAATACTATCTTAAGCTAGATAGATCACAATATTAGCAGCTGTATACGCGGCCGACTACTTTCATATAATTGTCAAGTCAATTAAGAATTTAGATCAACGGAGCAAGGCCCCGAGGCTAAAGTTTCGACCTATATAACCCACCTACCCTACCCGTTCCTCTCTTCCTCTTAACTAAATCATAGAAGGGGAGACGACGCCTACGATCACTCAACTCGTTTATGATCTTCCGAAGTAAGCAGTATCTTCGTGGCTATTGATCCGCTTCTAATAGCAATCTAGGCTTTTACACTCCGATGTTCCCCGAAATTCCGCAGAAGTTAAAGGCTCGCGGGGGGCCTATGAAGTGATTGAGAAAATAGGGGGTGCGTATCATTCAAAAAGACCATCAAAAAGACCATCAAAAAGAGATATAATAAGGCTGTATAAGCGGCGGCCGACTATCTAACTTATCGCTCGTGCCATCCTGCGTAAATTGGGGATATTGAGCGCCGCTTGGTAAAGGCCAGGTATAGCAGTTCGTGGCTTGTTGAAAAGAATCGGGGCATTTAGTAGAGCCAGGCTGGCTTCCTTCGCATGATCCATGCAGTTTAGTCCTAGACAGCGTATATCTAGTTACAACCTTCTTGTGAGATCGGTGAGAGTAGCTACTGGACGTGCGTAGGTTTATTCGTCAAACGTAGTGCCCTCAATTGCATCAAAAACGGTATCCACGCCATTGACACTGTCCCGGGCGACGTCAGGAGTCGTGTTCACCAATTGACCAAGATGGACCTGGCTGTTCTCAGCGGTAATGAATCGAAGCAGGTGAGTCCAGGATGGAATTATTTGGTACGTGGATGGTTGGTGGTGTGGTGTATTGTTTCTAACAAAATACTTTCAATTAATGCTCAGCCAACCAGTTGCTAGGCATGTGGTGTGGACTCGGGTTATATTGACTTGACCCCCGAGGCTCAGTCGCCAATGCGTCGGACAGTCTCTATCGATCTGGTGTTGGTTATTGAGGTGAAAATTGAGCTGGAGCTTGACCTAGAGGAGAAGAAATTGCTCTCTCAAGGATTAAGCTGAACTTCTGATGTCTGGAATGGAGTGATATAGGCCCTGCTAACAGGAAATTGCAGGAGACTATCGTACAGCGTGGAACGATGCATCTTTGGAGAAACTCACCATCCTCCAAGTCAGCTAGAATGACGTCTGTCCTTATGTTTAAGGAATCCTTTGTTGGAGGACATATGCTCAGTTCAAAACAAGAATAGCTGATTGGTTGAACTTAGCACGAACGTCTTTGCTTTGAGGTCAGCCATCTTTGTAGCAACAGTGTCTTCTATAGTTCCATGTGCAAGCTATCATGTAACTTCAAAGTCCAATGAAAACTCTACTTAGATGCAACATTGTGAATTGCAAGCAGAATATAATTAACAAAGCAAGAATGACAAAACATTGGACCCTGTTGAACGTATAGTTCTGAGTGACCCGTGATAATGGTCTGTGCTCGGATTTATGAACTTGACCGCCTTCAAGCGGGAGGTTTAGTCAGCTGAGCCTCTGCCTCCAGGGGCTCAGCCCCTGGGGCCCGGGGCTTCCTCAGCTTTCTCCAGGGCTCATAGGCGGCCCTAGAGGTTGTGCACTATATGCCCGTCTCAGGAGTTACATATATAATTTCCCCCAGCAATACCATATGGATTACTTGATCTAAAAAGCCAAAGACGATCACAGCCAATAACAGAATATCCAAATTATTATACCAAATATTAAAGACACGTCTAGGTATCTGCGATATTGTAGTTTGACAGAACATTGGCCTCTGTTAAAGGGCGAATGCCAAGACCGGGCCCAACCTCCATCACCGCCGTCAAAAGTTGTAAT